TCAGTATTTAAATATACATAATGAAAGTTTTATTACTAAACTTTCCCAAGATTTCAGAGTTCCAAATCAGAAGCTATTAACGTCTCCCTACCCGCGATCACCTGAAGGCACACAGTTTACAACCGTCATGTAGATATGTTTACCTCAAGGTTACCATAAAACTGCCTCCTAACAAAACCTCTGATTGCTGTAGAAAGTTGTTAACTACATAAAACTGACACACACCTACACCTCAATGATGGAAGATGTCAATTCGAGCATTGTACTTGTGTAATACTTCTGTATACAACTATTCTCTGTATATGAATGCATATACTAGTACTTGCTTCTGGCATCGTTTATATGTTTGTTTTTGTGTTCTTCAAGAAGCGTCCCAAATAGAAGAAGAACACGTTATTATAGTGTAAGGTGCTGCATATATTGAAATAAACAGTCACTGGTAAGCGTGATAAGAAATTCAACTTACATCTTAAAAAAATGAATGAATGAATGAATGAATGAATGTTGCAACCCAACACACATCATCAAACTTGGCAAACCATTTTAATCAGACGTAATCCGATAAGCAGATTTGCACATGCTAATAAATTTGATTATGTATCCTTATTCATTTAGTTTAGTATAACAAAAGTGAAATTTCAGTTGTCATATTCATTATTATAAACTGTTCAAAAGACCTGCATGTTATCGATAGAAAGTAATACCCGTTAGGTACATAATCCATTAACTGGAAACATCCGGCTTTTAAGGAGGGAAACGTAACGATAGACAAACTATTTACCCAAGGGACACTTAACGTCGACTTAAGAACAATGACATTACAGTGTATAACAATACTGACATCAGTCCACTGAGCAAATATTTGCCATTAAGGACCTCTCGATCCTTAATGAGTTGAGGTGATTGACACAGAGGCACGCTTCTTTGTGGACCACTTCCTGGTTGTTGTACATAGCAGTCCATCACGGAAGGACGCATCGTGTAATTGGAGCTGTTTCATGGTGTCCATGCTTTCCCTGTTTTAGATTGTAACTACTTTGTGTATATCATATTACAAAACAAGACAATTCAGCCAAAACACACATTTCGGAGTACTGCAATTACTAGACAAAATGATATGAGAATCTATGTCATATTACTCCCAGATTGTTACACAGATTTCACAATACATATGTAATGAATACCTAAACTCAGTTGTAAATCGCCATCGCCCTTGGCAGGATACAACATATTTCAACCATCTGTAGACAGAAATTTTGATATTTAACAGTATTTTATTTGAATGTAGAATGTAGATCCTAACCAAGAGTAAAAACAATCTGTCCCTATAGTTGTTTTATTCCATGAACTGAAACGAATTACAATTTTAAATAGTTGAATCGCCAATAGTCCAACTATATTATGATTTGAGTCGGACGGACGCATACGCACACAGAGGTGTGTGTCTATTCACAATTACATCAGTCTTGTCCCATGTGCCATCGGTGTCTGAAGAACATATTTCAAATCAAAATACTTTCTTCGCTTCTTACAGTTTTATCTGCCTTGTGGATATGAATACAAGTGACCAGAAGATTTACTTGTTTCATAGGCCATCGGAACGGATATTATATGATTCCATTCAAAAGTTTAGCCTCACATAAAACACTCACTATATGTTATGTGTGTGTATACACACTATATGTTATGTATACATATATGTTTACATCAAAGATTGATATCTCCACTAACTTGGGGGCACCATCTGCAAACCTTATGCAAATGAATTGTACGAGGATTATGCATCAAATTGCTGAAAAGCATGTGCAAATATTGTGCATGTGAACAGCTGCGTGTTGGTTTGTTAAGTTTTGTTAAGAATTCGTGAATTTTCACTGATTTTCATCATAAATTGAACTCATGACAATAATCTTTTCAACGTTACGAATTTCAGTTCATGTGTAAACAGTACCTTTAAACAGTATTGAATATTTTGCAAAATTTAGTTTAGAACAGTTGCCTGGAGTAAGTGGCTATGTTTGCACTAGTGAGTTTAAACTTTCGACATGAAGTATATACATGACGCTTGGTTATTTTTCATCTATTCTACTTATGTAACAAACAGGTTCAACATTTCTTTCATTCCCGCTTTGTTAATAACACATAGATGCTTTGTTAATATGTGTTAAACAATTAAAATAACAATGCATCCAAGTTCTGTTCAAATAGAATTCCGTAGCTTTCGTTGTTCAATAAACTACAGGTTTTTGTGTGATGAAACCTTGTGACAGCCATGCTGCCAGCTGAAGAGATCAACGTACCCTGGGTACAGCAATTAGCACCCTCGTCTACAAACTGTCCTCCAGGGTCTGGTTTACAGCATCCTACTTTTAAAAAACCCCCATCTACTCCTCATAAAACTGTCTGTTGGGAATCTGTTTCATTATCTGATATTATCTTAAACGGTCTAACGGATTAAACGAACTCGATGAAATGAACCTGAAATGGCAGTTTGTGTTTTCAGCACACAGTTTTTTACCATGTTTAGAGATGTTGAAAACTCCCAATTGAGTTTTATGGAGCTTAATAAGATTCGTAATTTCAATTAGATTGTGTTCGTGGTGTTTATTGCTGACTCGAGCAGAAACAGTCACATCAATATTAACTGATGTTCATATTAATTTAGTTTAATTAGTTGCAGGATGTCCCTCGTGGCTTGGTTTAATAATCAGAATGAGTGAGTGAGTGAGTTACCCCGGGTTTAACGCCCATATTTATAAAACCGCCAGGATATTTTGTTTTCTTTGTTGTTAAATGCCGCCCAGTATTCCAGCTAAATGATGGCGAACTGTAGATAATCGAGTCTGGACCAGACAATCCAGTGATTGACATCATGAGCATCGATCTACGCAAATATGAGTGAGTGAGTGAGTTTGGTTTTACGTCGCTTTTAGCAATATTCCAGCAATATCACGGCGGGGGACACAAGAAATGGGCTTCACACATTGTGGCCATGTGGGGAATCGAACCCGGGTCTTCAGCCTGACGAGCGAACGCTTTAACCACTAGGCTACCCCACCGCTCCTACGCAAATATGAGGTACGTGCATGCATGGCATAAGCCTGTAAACACATTACATCAAGTCGCCTCTTTCTTCAAGTATAGGCTACCGGAGATGTATCCAAACCCGTTTTTAATTTGCATCTCAAGGTTGGGGGAACATAGAAGCATGAAACGTTACTATGCATAACATCTTTATTGTGCTTGAATGACAAGGCGTATCTCTGTACAAACACGACACTCGTATAAATTTGACAGCATGAGATTCATATTTGTAGGTACCTAACATGTAAATGAAATGGAGTAAACTGTAAAATATTATGCTTAAAATGTCGAATTAAAATGAGCGATATCCTAGCAACTTTTGCCTATAAGGTACTTAATAATCTTACGCGCAAAACGTATTAGCGCATTGCATAAATAGTTGGACAGCAAGTAAAGTACAGATTCTAATATTTTGGGGGGTTAATTCCTATCCAGGATTCCAACCATTTATGTATTCTGATCATTTCTGGGGTGATGTTGACGTCAGTGAGACAGTTCAGCTTCTACGTGAGATGAAGTAACCGTACCGTAATGCCATAAGAAGTAACTGGCATCACCAGAAAAATAAAATAAATTACACTAAATGAAGTGTGGTAAAAATAATAAAAACATTAACATGGATGAGTGAGTTAGGGCTTTAGCGGTACCTTCGGCATTCCAACATAGAAGTTACCTTCATTGACATTGATATCTTCCCACCAAATCTTGGAGGAATGGCTAACTTATCAGTGTCGTGTCTTGTCTTGATTTTACGGATGGTTCATAATGTGTGAACTTAATGTGTGAAGACGATCAATGATCAGTCTTTAGACGTTAATCAGTTGGAACACCCGGACGGAGTATCCGTTATCTATTCATTCTATTTACGCCTTTCCGTAGGATCCTGGCACGCTAAAGGGAAGTAGCTACATACAGCGATGCATGGTTGTATTCGATACGGATAAAAAGATTGGTTTTGGACATTTGCTGTGTTTTGGCGAGTGTTTTCAGGCTAATGACGCCTTGATAACGTTGGTAATTTATGGGTCAAGTCAGAGTTTGTGAATGTACTTTTCAGAGTTTTGTAAGAATGGAGAATGATAAATTACCGTCTCCATCATGAACGTTTGCTTCAGCACGGACATACTCTCATCAACCATGATTCAGCTTTCATGATTCAGGATTCAGCCGTGAAACGTAAGCCCGACATGTCGTAAGTTTAAATTTCTGTTTCATGTGGCAATAAAACATGAATTCTCTTACTTGGTTCATGAAGTGTGATGTTTGACAATAAGGTACCTCGACCCCAATAAAATCATAAAGTTTATTTTCTACTGAGTGCTGGATTAAGGCAAGGGCTGTATCGCCTTGTTAGATCTACAAAACAAATAAAACACTAAAACATTACTAGTGATCACTAATAATATAGATTTAACTTATCCGATTAGGAGATTATCGGGTATAATCGTCTTTATGCGTTACACGCCGACAAAGCTACTTCATAGGGATGGTGTTTCTTAATTAAGTCGTTATATGTTTAAATCGTGGTACCCTATCCCAGGCCTACTGGTATACGGCGGCGTTGTGTTTGATGTTTGGGACGTGATGCAGTTATCCATGAATTGTAAGTTAAGGAGCTGGTCATACAAATAAAAGTGATCCTTCTAATTGCAATTAGGTGTATGATGTGTAAAGCGATGGTGATGATGGTGATGATGATGATTATGATGACGATGACGATGACGACGACGACGGCGGGGATGATGATGTGGTGGTTTGTATAGTAGAGGATGATGATGATGATGATGATGATGATGACGACGATGATGATGATGATGACGATGACGACGACGGCGGGATGATGATGATGATGATGATGATGATGATGTGATGATGATGATGATGATGATGATGATGATGATGATGACGATGATGACGGTTTGTATAGTAGAGGATGATGGTGACGACGGCGGGGATGATGATGTGGTGGTTTGTATAGTAGAGGATGATGGTGATGATGATGGTGGTGATGATGATGATGATTCTTTTTCTGTTGCCACGACGTTTCAAAGCTAATTCTTGCTCCTTCATCAGGTGAGACCTACAGAAGCAAAGCTTAGCTCTGAAACTTCCTCATAAATATAAATGAATTTGTCTGTTCGGAGCAAACTTGCGCAGGGCTTTCTTAGACCTTGCCCTTAAATTATTACATGGGATCTCTTTTTTGATAATGAAGCATTCCGTGATTTTCTCATTCAATTAGATCGCAAGAATGTGTATTGAAAACTCTGTATACCTTTTGAGTGCATTCTGAACTAATTATACATCTATTTATTTATCTTCAATAATGAATATGAAATAAATATTTATTATTTCCATTACACCGCATCGAAGTAGTGAGATTTTCTAGTCTTGATGACACATGCATATCTCTAGCTAATATATGAGTAATACATATGCAATAAAGCCAGTATCATTGTCCTATCTCTTCTCCCCACCCCCAGGGCTTTATCCCTGACCCCCCGAGCTGGCACTTCTGCACGGAACATCTCCCAACCCATGTCTTAGTAGAAGGAAGCGATGTCTATCTCGTAATTACATTATTTCTCAAGTGTCTAATTGCTGGGTTCAACAACCCGGAAATGGCCGACAGCGGGAAGAACCTACTGTCTGACGATGTGTCAATCACCTCAACTCCTTATGTCTGGGGAGGTCATTAAGGGCAAATATTTGCACAGTGGACTGCTGTCAGTATTGTTCTTTTGTCTATTAAGATCCCGATATACAAATATTAGGACGATGTAAAAGTTACTGACCGGATGCTGATATTTAAAGGATTTTGACATACTTTTTAGGTCAGCAAGAGATATGCATCCTCATTCAGCCAAAATAAAAATATCTTAGAAAATGAATAAAATAAAAGACTGAAACATCAAATTAGGCTACTAGTAAATATTTTATCACAGTAAATATGTATATGTTATGATTTCAATAGTAGTTTCATTAGCTGATCGATCTGTTTCAACTTGATCTGTTTGATTGGCCTTTTAAAAGTTGATGAAGAATAAGAAAGGTATGCTACTATATGGCGTGAGTGGTGTGACTGCCTGACAGCGGTATAAGAATCTATACCGAAACGTCGCATCATAATAATAATTATAATAAAGAAGTTGCATTCCATAAAGTACCATACCGTTCTTCTTTTGTTTCAACTTCTTTGACGAAAACTATAAATGGCTATTATAAGCCTTGACAAGCCAGAAACTGAAGTCGTTTTAGAAGGAATGGTGTAAGTCGCATGTGAACACGCTGTAATAATATGGCAACAGAGGTTGCATGTTTAACGTTGTTTCTGTATTATCAGAATATGATTTAACGAGTGAGCACTAAGCTTGGTAGATGAAATGTCTCCCATACACTGCTTGGACGTTGTCCACAATATGTTATGGTTTGGACATATTCTTATATAAATTACCTATGTACATACCAAGGAGAGGGTATTCTAAGTTGGAGAACTAATCCTTTCTCTGTGAATAAAATATGTTTAAAACAAACATATTCTTATTTCATAAATGAAAACTTCCAAATGGTAGACAAACAGAAAAAATGTTCATATAAATACTTCTCCACGAAAAGAATAAATAAACTTTGAACCTGTTCAAGATGAATATACACGTACAATACCTACACGTAGACAGTAACCGTTAGCTACACCTACTGATGTCCAGCCTGAAGAATGCAGCATGTCAGTTTCATAGATTGTCTCCAAAATGTATCAATCATAAATGCTGGATTTACTTCAACTGTAATCTTTAATATTTGACAAAAACATCGAGGACTGATCAAGAATATCCACGATGATCGCGTCACTTTGTTGTCAGTACTTTTTGATATACCAACTACATATGTAAACATATACAAGCGTCAATAACTGAGCATTATTATTGATATTTATAATATGGACATGGCTAAATGTATTTAAAGGTTGATTATCTTTCTGACGTCCATACAAACACCCGTTTGTCAAAACAGGTCATAGAGGCTTGTTTAAGCAATGGGGTAACAGACAATCACACTTCATTTTTTTGCTTGCCTTCTCAAAAATAATGAAGATTTCTCTCTTGCAATGAACATGCAATGGTTTGGGCTGGATTTTATTCTGGAATTTTGGAATAAGATATATTTTTATGAAATTACAATTCTGATATAGAATGTATTATAATCGTTATATGTAATGAATTATACATTGTGTTGCACACCTCATACTCAACAATACAATAACACTTTAATGTCCACCACCCGTCTGTATTTGTTTTTGTTGACACATGACAGCACAACTACGTGTCTATATCTGTTGGAAGTCCATGGACCCAGTCTTCGTGTGACGCCAGTAACCTTCCCTGGTAGTCTCCCTGGGATTAGGACGATATTCAGATTAGCGATTATCTTCCAAGTAATCCTGGAGGTGCCTGATCGTCTCCGACCAGGTCAATACAAATACCAATATTTACACAGAGAGTGTCGTAATGCGGACTTTGATGTTGATATACTCACAAAGCAAGATAACTGGCCATGATTTGGTTTCTACACTGTTTCCATCATGAAAGAAACATACACGGTTAGTTATTTAGGTGGTGAACTTGACAATGGTTTAACACGAACAACTATTCACACATAACAAAATACAACTTAGGACCCACGAACATAAATATCCATAAAAATAAAATATTTAAAAGAATCAAATCCAAAACACCGTACTGAAAGTTAATACAAATATTAAAAATCATGTGTATCTCTTGAGATGATATTTAACATATATGTACGATAATCTAATAGTTACAATCCGATAAGTAGAACATATCAACACTGAACTGACACTTATATTCAGGTACTAATATGGAATATTTTCTTCTGTTTTTTTCTAAATATATACGACCTATCGGTATGATGACAATTTGGTGCTGCATATACACTTGTTAAGCCCTTTAACTCAAATATATATTTGTGCGTTATTTATATGAGCAATGCTTTGCTTGTTTACCAGTCCATATTTCGTTTATGAAATAAAAATAATTTAAAATAAAACGTATTTGTTTCAGGAAGAGAAGTGCTTTTATGATGTGATATCATTACACAATAAATTCACGATGACGTGCGGGCTTCTTTTTCATCATCTGTTTAGTTTTCCATATGTTGTATTCCCCGATTTACAGTTTGTTGTGATTAATTATTTGTGTCTAGACACAATGATTCAGTGAATCTTTGAAACAAGGAACAGAATTGCTTTGACATTCACTTTCACTGATTCATAATCACTAATCGTAATTAATGCAATCATTTATCAATACCTTGTCCAGGTATGTCTTACAGTGGACACACTCAGTCACAACAGTCCAGTTGTTGTGTCCAGCGAGTGGTTAAAACAGTAACCTGTCCTTGTTCAGTACGGGAGACCTATACATCATGTCCATACAGAGGTCCATTAACCGTTACACGATGATTCACCGTGACAACATTTCTCGTTACAAGACGTAACCCAGCCACGAGACATTCACTGACTTAGTGGAGAGGTAATCGGAGCATTAATTGAAATACGTCGGCTAGTCAGCCAGCACCTGCCAAAGATGGCTCGAGATAAACTGCTTCAATTAACGACACCGTAGCCCGATGTTATCTACCGGTAGACAGTTTCCATTTATTTATGACACGTGACAAACGACTTAATGCCAGTTATGTATTTAATTTTAGATTGTTGATAACGTAATTGCACATGAAACAATGCTATTTGATAACCTGTGGTAGCATTACAATATATCAAAATATCAACTTTCACACGTTTAATTGTGATTATGGTTGTCTGGTATAATCAAATAATTAATTAATCATCATTCAGTGTTTCTGTATCATAACCATTGAAATACAAAACGATACAGAAACAGAGTATCGATTATACACAGAAACAAATTGTTCGACGTAAAGGGCCAAATATATAAAGTCAGTGATGACGCATATTTGCGAACAGGGTAAGCATGTCCTGCGCTACCGGTAGCAATGGAATAGAACAAGAGATGTCTTGTCAAAATTGGTTTCCACTGAATCCCTGAAAGATGAATGCAACTGTTATCTACTATTTAAACCTCATATCTACGCGGGGCGGTGGGGTAGCCTAATGGTTAAAGCGTTGGCTCGTCACGCCGAAGACCCGGGTTCGAATCCCCACATGGGTATAATGTGTGAAGCTCATTTCTGGTGTCCCCCGCCGTGATGTTGCTGTGATATTGCTAAAAGCGGCGTAAACCAAACTCAGTCAGTCAGTCATATCTACGCTCTGATCTGACGTAAAGCGCGTGCATTCCATGTCTCGGATGAAGATCTGATAACTTTGCAAACATACTGACTGTACAAATAATCTTCGTTTACGACATTAATTGTGGATGGAATCGAATGATCATACAATTTGTAAACGGGTGAGTAAAAGAACAGTCTAAATAAATATTTCATCTTGAGTGCACAATACACATACATACATGCACGCACGCACACACACACCATGGATGAAACATTCGGAACTTATCAGTGTTTATCCACCTTGCAGAATGATGATGATGATGATGATGATGATGATGATGAAGTCTTCTATACTTCTGAAGTTGAATAACCTACTGATCATATAATATACTCGATTAGAAATCACGGGGAATGGTTATTTGAAGACTAACGCTTAGTAACCGAAAACATAATCCTGAGAGACACGAGAGGTTTTGGTGTACGTATGTGAGGCATGTTCTAAACGTGTAGTGTTTTTCAACTGTCCTATGTATAAGTACAGAAATATTCTAATTGAAAGATGTGCTAAGTTTGCTAACAGTTTTAGCAACGGCCACTGATGTTGAAAAAAACAGTCTCGTTTGTTACCCTGAAAGACGTATATGCATTTAGTGATGCCAAGTCATTCCATCTTGTCTATAGCAAAGACATTTCGTGAGAAAGCTCTTTATTGGCGACCGTACTTATATTGTTTCTAACAATTTTCAGCCTGTAGATATCGGTAAGAATTGGTCCTAAACAAACCCATCCTTAAAAGAGAAGGGACGGTGGGAAAGCCTAGAGGTTCGCTCGTCACGCCGAAGACCCGGGTTCGATTCCCTACAAGGGTACAATGCGTGAAGCCCATTTCTGGTGTCCCCCACTGTGATATTGCTGGAATATTGCTAAAAGCGTCGAAAAACTAAACTGATGGGGTCGATGGTCATGATTGCTTACTTGGCCGACATCGTCATCGTACCTCAGTCGTGTAGATGGTCATGATGTCAGTCACTGCATCGTCTGGCCCAGGCTCGATTATTTACAGACCGCAGCCATCATTACTCTGAATATAGCTTAATGCGGCAGGAGACAACATACATAAACGTACCGGCCTTCGTTAAATATCCGTTGGTTCTTGTTATTACTTTGAGTGAGTGAAATCTGAACTGTCAAGGATGGCGTATGTCCTGTAACACCTGGGTACGACAGAGGTTGCCTTTCTCCGAACCTTCTCATAAAGTTTCCCCTTTACAATCCAAAAATTCAAATAAAGGTTTTGTTTAATATATCCGCATAACAAAAACTTTTCACTTTGAGTGAATCTCATCACTAATTAAGAATTCCAAAAGTCGAAAATGTGAGAAAAACAATGGAGTTTTGCCATCTGTTTGAACATGTCTGATAATTTCCATGCCAACATTCCGCTTGATAGCAAAGGATCATATAATTAGATGTTTGTTATAAATGAAAGAATATAATTAACTTGTTCGGCCACATACGATGCAAAAGCAAGTAACATAATAGTACCAAAACGTTCCTGTTCTGTTTGGAGGAACTGACAAGTACACATTATCAATATTTTAACACAAGTGTAACATAATTTACTTTTCGCTGTACTTGTAGGCAAAACTGAAAGTGTATTTCCTTTTTATTATATAAACTGGACATAATCTTAAACAAATCTGCACTCAACTCTCTGGCGTGATCAACTCACCGCCAAGATCCATGAACTGCGGTTAACCTGTGGGTGATATTTAAAATCGTGATCAAGGGGGCATAACTCTAGTACATATCGATTTCACTTCTGCAATCATGACTCATTCCGATGACGCATGTTGTTCTAATGTATGAAATTACTAAGTGCGTTCAAACATAACAACAAAAAATAATAAATACAATTAAACATAACCTACACACGCACTGAGCTACATCTAAAATTTCTGTTATATAAAAGACGCAAAATAATGAAAATATAACGAAGCGCCGTAAAATATATTTATCTCGGCTCGACGTGCAAACGTTGATGATTTACATTCAGTTGATGTTTCGCAATAACTTCCGAAGCAGGCGTAAATTTTAATGGCAACAGTTACTATCCGTGTCCAAAATGAAAACAGTAGGGAAAAAACATTATCGTGTAAAGATATTAAATCAAAGTGTTGATGCCAAACACATTTTCAGACAAGTACGTTTTGGTGATATACTGTGTGTAAAATTACGAAAAGCACGCCTGACTGACCAGTTCCTTAATCTGATGTTACCCGGGTTACCAGAGTTTTAGGGTATTGTCCACTGATGTAACATATGCATGTGCATTTCACAAATATGACTAGTAGAATGCATATATAATCGGAAGCATGTATAGATGTCGCGCTCTGGCCAACAATGATAAGAACAGACGCTTATCTACATTATAATATGACATGTATTGTGAAAACAGGTTTATCAAACTAGGTGAGTGAGTTTAGTTTTACGCCGCTTTTAGAAATATTCCAGCAATATCACGGCTGCGGACACCTGAAATGGGCTTCACACATAGTACCCATGTGGGGATCGAACCCGGGTCTTCGGTGTGACAAGCGAACGCTTTAACATCTAGGCTACCCCACCGCCCTCTCAAAATCAGAAATTGTCTCATTCGCATGTTATTTTATAGAAGTCAGGTCCAGCAAATTGTGTTTTTTGACAAGATATGACAAAAGGTCCACGTTATTAATATAAGGCCTGTGGCCTTCATCTTTCTTAATTTGCTGACTTGGCTGAGGCATGTTGTCGTGTCTTAATGGGAGTTGAACGATGCTCATGATATCAATCACTGGATTGTCTGGTCCATACTCGATTATTTGCAGACCGCAGTCATATAGCTGGAATATTGCTGAATGTGGCGTTAAACCGCACTAAAAACATTTATAATTTGCATGTGAGAATTCCTTTCGTAGAGATGAAAAAAGAATATACCATCTAATTAACAACTTGACATCCTTAAATTCCAACGACTGAGTACAATTTGACAACGCTAAGATAATCTGCGACTGGTTAATATTGGTTAAATAACCTGCTTCGTTGAAAATGAAATCCAGTGATCGCAATATGTGTAGCCAGAGGGCTTAATGCACGAACTCAAATGGAAAGAAATAAGTCTGTGTGATATCATAGTACAAAATGATAACTAAATGTATAAAATCATAACGTTGAGGAACAAATATCAATATTCTTGACAACTAATTAGCGTTCATGTGAAACCACACCGGTTTCATCACATTCCAATATGACGACCCTATAGTAAAGGGACATAACTCTAGTTTCACATAGTCTCCACCAGGAGCGCGTAAAAAGCGGAAGTACAGATTAAATGCAACCGGAAGTTCAAATTTTACCGCGACCGGCGGCTAATGCCTACGAAATTTTCTTGGAAACCTGCCACAAGTGTTTAAAAACTTCATAATTTCACAGAAAAATGCCTCGTCGAACGGTAAACACCCACATCACTATCTTTATCTCATACATAATCTGTCAGATCGTCATGAAACACGACAGATCGCCATTACGCGCCATCAGCAAATATTTCTGATCAATGAAATGGCGACTAGGGATTTTAAACGGCGAAGAAAATCGTAGAAACAAGTTCCTGCTTGGTGGCGAAAAGCTGTAAAGCAATTTCTGAAATTCTAAGGCATCCTGTAGTATGTTGCCTGCACGTGAATCCGTATTTCTAATGTCGATAGCTTGTTGTGACCCATTAATAGAGGTTGAGTGTGAGTAATCATGATCCATTTCAAATCACAACAAACAGTTGTAAACAACGATTTGTTCAGGACTAGTGTTGTTTTAACCTCTACTGACCAGTCTGTTCTGTCAATTGACATGTTATATATTTAGATATGGGCTCCGTTGCCTGAAATATGGACTGATAGTTTGTCTATGGTGAATTAAAATCCTTGGTGTCAGCTTGATGAATAACAGACTTAAGTGATAGAATAGCCAGTATGTTTAGTGGTAGAGGAGTGCCTATATAGACTTGTAGTCTGTATTCCACTGATTTGTTTGTTTTAATGGTCAAACTGTAGCATTGTCTTTGTGCATTTTGTGTACCTACTACTTGTACCTATATTGTTACCATGGTAACACAGTATTAAGGTTTAGTAGTAAATGTATATGTTTATGATATTCAAACAATCAGTGGCGACAAGTAGTTGAAACACTTCCTGCTCATTTAGTTAAGTCAAATATTTCAGCATTCGAGGCATAACTTTTCATTCTGATTAACTACACATTTTCACGAATCACATTATGTACAAAATATGTATTTATGTTGTGTTGATTGCAAGAGAGTAAAAGTGTAAACATAAAATATTATGGTGGTACTCTGTCAGGAACAGTTATTTTGAAATAAGTGTCTTTTGTTGTCCAAAACCAATGCTTAGCAGCATTCGAATTAAGCCAAAAGATGTTAAATGTTGGTACTTGTTGACTGAAGTGCTATCAAAGACTGATCAGCTGGTGATCAGTATGCTGTGTTTATCTGCAATATACATGTTAAACTACGGGATGGTATCTCAGTGGGCTAGCATGCTAAAACCAGCAAGTCCAGACTAATACAAACATCACACTTTGCTATATTAGTGCAGTAACCGTGAGCGAGCTTGATGTGAAACACATTTCACCTGACCTATATCAGAAGACACCCAGGACCTGTTAATGTACGTTTCAAATGCTGTTCAATTTCAAGTTTTCCATTATATATGTCACTCACTGAATAACTGACGCTCTGATCAATCAACAGGTCTTCATTCACTTGAAATACAATAATCGAAAAGAATATTCCCCTGTTTAATATTTTCTTAGAGATGGTTTAAGGTTGTATTTTAACAATGCAAGTATGGCCTTTTTTCTTTATATTCTAATATTGGAATTTGTATTGTCATTTCCTCAGACCCTGGGTCTCTGAGCTGGTCACGGTAAAGTGCTGTGAAATGTCAATATTTTGTGATTTATGAGATTACCGGTAACTGATTCCTTATCCTGGTTTGAACATCATAATGAAGTCAAACACCATTGTGTCCAAGTTAAAGGCACACACAATACTTCTAGTAACCGGAGGTTTGGAACATCCACAAAATGTTGTTTAAATAAATAGTGAATATGCAGGGACCAAGCTTTTATTGCGAGACAAAAGTTTGACACATCAGAGTTTGACACTACAGTGTTTCACTGAAGATGCTCTGTATAAACATTTAGTATATGGGGGCGGTGGGGTAGCCTAGTGGTTAAAGAGTTCTCTAGTCACGTCGAAGGCCCGGGTTCGATTCCCCTCATGGATACAATGTGTGAAGTCCATTTCTGGTGTCCCCCGCCGTGAAATTGCTGGAATATTGCTAAAAGCGGCATAAAACTACACTAACTCACATTTAGTGTGTCATGTCATCCGGTGTGTGTTTCAGGTTTGTTTAGTATTCTCATGCAGGCATTCCTTTTATGGAGGCTGCAGTGTATAGATGGGTGTATGGCTGCTGTTTTTGTGTTGTCAGTGGATTGTTTTCTGATTGTTTCAATAGTAAGGGAGCAAGTAGGATGCACAGACCAGTTTCAGAATGATTTGAATACTTCAAATCTGGGTAACAGATATATGTAGTTATCCAGACATGTTTAGAGACCAATCTTCTTTACTGTATCCAAAGCATAAGTCAGTTAAAGCTAGAAGTTACACCAAATGTTATGTTTTGTAGAAGTGACTTGATTTCACTGATATCAGGACCTATAAAGATGAAAATGTTTTGATCCTTAGTGTTAATTTGGGGCGGTGGGGTAGCCTAGTGGTTAAAGCGTTGACTCGTCACGCCGAAGACCCGGGTTCGAATCCCCACATGGGTACAATGTGTGAAGCCCATTTCTGGTGTCCCCGCCGTGATGTTGCTGGAATATTGCTAAAAGCGGCGAAAACTCAGTCAGTCAGTAGTGTTAATTTATTACATTGAATGCAGTGTTGAAATACTTCTGAGAAACAAAATAAGAACTTAGTCCAATTTTACAAACAAATATGGCAGGTTTTCCCAAATTGCCTTCTGACATCTCTTAAATTGGTATCCATAGATAGATCATTCCAACATCCTGTAAACATGGCAGTGTTGCTGCACTCAGGGAACTTACAAATTCAGTGATTTCTTTCAGCTGTACTAGTACCATCCCTCGCTTTGTGTGTGGCCCAGAATGGATTATTCACAGCCCTACATTCCTTGAATAGGGACATTGTGGTAGCCTAGTGGTTAAGGCCTTCACTTGTTATATAACAGGTGTCAGGTTTCATGTCCCACATAGTTACAATCAGTGAAGCCCATATCTGGTGTTCCCAGTGTGGTATTGCTGGAATATTGGTAAAAGTGGCATAAAGTTATACTGCAGCATTAAACCCACAGACTGACTTGTTATCTTGTTTCAGCGGTCACACGTTGAGTCGGTGTCGGAGGAGAGTGACATGTCAGCAGGGACCCAGGACGACAGTGATGATGACCTCATGCCAGTCCGCGTCACGCGGCGATCTACAGGTGAGATCCACTACGTCTTCACATCTCCAATATTTAGGGGAACTTTGTTGCAAATGTTTGTATTTCTGAGAATTTACAAGTCTTCACATTGAAAACTATTATGATTTATTGATTGGAAACAAACATCATTTCTCAAATTAAAAAGTAGCACAATTTTTCAGATTAAAAACTTGGGTGATTTCACAATCCTTCTGTAGTCCTTATGTTAAATCATGATAAAATGTCACCAAAATTCTGAATAACTGAATGTATATATCTTGCATCCTTATCAGTTGCAGTGTTCGGATATGAAGTTAAGGTCCCTTGTTAAACAGTTAAAGATTTACAATGTCCACAGATTCCCTTCAATAACAGCAAATGTTCATAACCCAGCCCCCCATGACTTTGAACACTATGTATGTGTATTTATGACCTCTGATGAAGGGTTCTGTTTTTCCAGATATTGTTTTAATGTTCAGTATTTCTGTAAGTAGAGCCTGGTGTTGCAGTTGTCCAGCGGCCAGCCTTCAAGAGGAAACGAGAGCCGCGGGTGTCTGGGTCCGAGTCAGAACCTGACCAGTCCGGAAAAGGCCCCCCAGAGAAGAGGAGTCGAGGAAAGCATCCGCGAGTTCTCACAGACCACAGTCACACAAACAATAAGAAAGACTGCGATATACCATCTGACTTCCCTCTGTGGGCAGTGACTGAGAAACGAGCAACACCTCAAACAAACTATGACGAGACGTCGTCACGGTGTCCCTTGCCTGGCTGTGATTCCAAAGGTTGTTATGATATGATACACTACCATATTTTACGGGGTTGAAACAGGTCCCCAGTACTGTAATGCTTGTTTGAAGCAGTGACGAGAATTACAATTTAAAGCTTATAGCTGTGCCAGTTTTGATAAGCAATAAGTAGACATACAGATACATGAAATAAATTTATGAAATAGTACTTGCTAGTCTGCTAGTCATCAACATTTTTACCATTTTAAGCTGCCAGTCTTTGTAATTGTTTTTGTGTTCTGTCCTTTCCTGACTCAATATTTGGTTATTTGAAAGCGCTCAGCTGCTAACAGTAAAGAATGTGTTTAATAAATCCAGCGTTGCACTATATCAAAGTTTATGCACTGAAGATCGGAATGATCTGTGAACAAGATGGGGTTAAGACATTGAACACTTGGGTGTACTTTCACAATAGATATATGCTTAGTGTGGATTTAGGATTGTATTTTGCTCAGAGATCTGAAAAATCGGGGTGAGAGAATCTTCTGATGCCTGTTTCACATGAGGAAGGAATTAGATTCCTGGATGTGTATATGTTTCAGGTCATCTGAGTGGTCGTAATGCAACCCACCGGACACTGACCGCTTGCCCCTTGTATCACAATACTACAGCTGAGGAATGCAAGGTATGGTCAGTGACTGCACCAACACATGCACCATGCATACCTACTCACATGCCTAATTACTGACCCACCATCTCGCATACCAACATACTCACTTACATACTAACATGTCCGTTCACATATCTGAACTGTTGCTGGATAAACCAGACCCTACACAAACACAGACGTGTCTACCTGCTCACAGACACACATGCCCTCGATACACATTCTCACTTATGTATTAAATCACATACCCAGTTTACTTTCTTACATGCCATGTCACATACCCATGTAATCGCTTACGTACCCACTTACATGTCCATTCACAGACTGCTCACTCGACCACCAACTGCACAAACACAGAGACATCCCTACAAGGATATATAGATGAACAAAGCCTCTTACTCCTTGGTAAACTCTGTAATGCCAACACAAGATACAGCTTTAAACAAATGTTTTATCCCACCTTGGCCAATACCACTGTAAAGAATCACTGATATACAAGATTAAGTTTGATATGAAATCACCTGTTTTAACCTGTTACGGCTTGTTTCCAAATACAATCTGCTTAGTGAAATCCGTAACTACATTTGTGATTCTAAGTTTATGAAGAAAAATGCTTGGTCGCAACTAGTCAAAGATAAGGTAACTACATATGATCAAATGCGGTTGGTAAATGTACTACAAACAAGGTTGTCTCTCTCCAGATATCTAACAATAAGATCAGGATGAGAACATAGACTATGGATACTCGCTTTAGAACGACCTCAGAACTTCACTGACATTGCGAGAATTATAAGGCTTGGTGCAACTCCAATAGAATCAAAGGAATGTCTATGCAGAACAGTTGCTCATGACATTATGAAACATGTTTTTATGTCATGCCAGTATAAATTAGTGAAAGGAATTCTCCATTTGAAAGAATCTGTGATATTGTTGACATAGACATTTTTGTTAAAATGTGGATGGAAGACGATGATGTATTCCTGTCATTCCTCCTCGGAGGTATACCTGACCACTGTAAAGATGTACTGGATTATAATGTTTGGTCAGAACTGATGGTAATGATTAGTCTCTCTGTTCGCAGTTGGGAGAGCATACTCCGGCAATGTTCATAAATACCTCCAGTTCTTTCACAATTGAATATTACTGTATAATATAAGTACTAATCGTTAGAACCTTTACTGTACTGTTGTTTATCATACAAATGTAATCTTCATGTTATGGAGAAAATAAAGAATATCTATCTATATATCATAGAGACACATCTTACCTGCTGACAAACCCACATACTCACTTATGTACCCACCCAAATACCACCTTACATGTCTTCTCATGTAACTCTGCATTGTCCACATTTCCCCACTCTTACCATGTACACACTCAAGTGCTTACCCATATACCTACATGTGACTCACCTGCAGTTGTACATAACATGACTGATTTATTGCTGATGTGACTGGAATATTAACTTGTTAATTATGATGTTCACTGGCTTAAGGCACCACAACTCACTGTGGACTGACTGACAGGATCTACAGCTTCAAAACTCAAGTTCATCTTTTTCTGTCATTACAAACTGTACTCATGGGTGTCCTCCCACTTTGAAACTAAGGCTCAATTCTGTCTCAAACCCCTCTCATTCCCGCTCAGTAAACAGAGCTTAGTTTCTTTGGTTGTCATGGCAATGTCCTCAATTGCTAGGTCATGGTTGATCATTTTCAGTTCTCATCTGAAATTAATTTAAGATTTTGTAACCTTACATGGCAATGTCTGTGCTCTTCAACAGCGGCGATATGATGACCGACAAAAGAGTTCCGAAGAAAGGAAGAAAATAGTTGCTGTATTAAACGACAGACGAGATTTGAGGAGACAGGTAGCCTGATATATTGATTTATAATAAGATTAGTTCTTCTCATTGTTTTGACAAAATTACATGTGTAGGCTTGCGATGGGTCGGCTTCATGCCAAATATGAACTATGTTGATCCATTAAGTGTTAAATTGAATTTTCTGTCTTCACATTGTAAATGTTATTGATGACAGTCACAATAAATGAACATTACCATTAGTGTTGGGAATTGGTTAAAATCACATAATTGATGATTGGTTCATTACAACTGATCAATCATCGAAAATAATTGGATAGCGTTATTTATAAAAATGTCCTGTTATGTTTGTTAATGCACAAAAACTTTTTTGATGTTTTTGCAAATTTGCACAAAATGCATTTGCAAATTCCTCATCTTTAATGGATTACTAGTATGTTACGAACATAAATTTCCTTGAGTCTTTTAAGATAAATTCAATCATGACTTGGAACAAGCTTGTAGTGCTTATGAAATGTAAATTTAATGACACAGACAAAACTAACCTTGTGCAAAATATTGTTAATGCAAACAAGTGTTCCAAAATTGTTTGTGTTCGACTATGCGAAAACACAATAGATTGCTTGGTCGTTTAGTCACTGCGACCAATCTTTGATTATTTCAATTAATCGGACCACCAGTAATTACCATGGCAGTGATTTATGAATGTAGTATAAGTCTTCATAAATCTTTAAACTTATCCTATCTCTGTCTTTCTTGCTTCGACAGCTAAGTGGAAACGAGCTGTAATAAAGTTTTTGGCCTCTCTTGTACCATTCACCCAAATTCTCCCCTCTGCTCCCACTGATGGACAATCCCAGCCTCTGTGGAGCAAGCAACATGCCCCCTGAGTGGTCACGTGACTCCTCTGTATGATCATTCAATTTCTTGTCACACAGCTGTGCTGACGTGCTGTAAACTAGAGATCAACTTATATCCCATTATGGGGAAAGAAGATTCTTCATCTAGAAAAGGAAGTATTGCACCGTATGCAGGAAGATTTTCTCTTCTGCGGATATTCATTCACACGTCTTGCATTGACTGTATTGGATTGTGCAGCTGGGATAAATGTTGTACTTCATGCAAGACCCTCTCTGATGATGCCTTTGCAGCTTTGGTGTACGATCCTGTTCACTCCATATTGCCTGTCTCCTGGGATCCGTCGCAAGATATTTCAAGCGTTCTCATCTGTCTGGAAGCAGATGCAACAGTCTTCATTTTGCCCAGCTCATCAGTTCAAACCTACTGTACTTCAGCTGTCTCCCCAGGTTTATCCTACAACTTTGGCTCCTATTCATCACTCCGCCTTTCCTTCACCGTCTCATTTGGCGGATCTGTCCACACCTGACGGTAGTGTGGATTTTGTTGATTTGTCTCATATCCTCGCATGGATTGTTGATCATCTAAAATTACCCAGGAGCAAGTTGGCTAATGATTTACTCCACTCACTTGCCATGAGGGATAGTGACTTGGCATCCATTACCCTGCCCCCACGGATGTGTATCACTCAGCTGGCTTCTTATCTCGACGAGGCTTTCAAGAACCTGAAGCGGGTCTGCGATGGCATTGTGTCGCCCAGATTTTCCATCTCGGCAGCACATGTACACATCTTCTTGAAGCTGGTTAACTCCCCAGCTGTAGATGAGGCAATCGATACTCTTTGCATGCAACCATTCCCCCATCTAACTCACATAGATCCTACTATTCGGGCCGAGGTGGAAAGCTCCTCCAAGCCCAACCCAGGATACTCTTTGCATGGAACCATTCCCACATCTAACTCACATGGATCCTACTATTCGACACACTCTCCCGGCGATCAAGCTTATCATGTCGGCTGTTGACACTGTTATGGCCTCCGTAGAACATGCTAATTCCAACGACCACACTTATATGAGAGGTGCCATGACCTTGATAACTGAACATTTTCAGACTTCATTACTCACTTCCTTGGATATATTTAAGCCATCCGCAGGTCAGCCCCCTTCATCACACTGCTTGGGAGGACTGATTTTCGAGTTGACCTTTTCCCCATCCGAGGTTATTTGTTCAACTCTCACATCTAAGAAGTCGCGTCTAAAGTTCACAGAAAGAACCACTTTTAAGTTTCCTTGTAGCTTCTGAATCTACAAAAAATGCAACTTCAAGAATCTCTCAAGCAATCTCTCAATCTCTCGTCTGGCCTCTTATGTGCCTAACAACGCGGATCTTCGGGACTCCATTTGTCGTAGTGGCTCCTTTTGGGCCTGAGGTAGAAAGCCTACCCGATCCTCCTCAGCCAAGCGCTCCTCCAAGCCCAACCCAGGTTGTGGGCCGGGGCGAGCAAGCAGTGACTCTCGGATATTATCTCGGACTCTCTTGTCGGCAGAAGAATGGGTCACTATGCTCTGAACTGGAACATCCTGCAAGACCCGTTTGTGTTGAAGACTTTCACCCTGGGTTATCAGCTCCTGCTCCTTGGTCACCTCCTCTGACGTTCAATCCGGTTTGGTGAACCTATCCGGTGACTCAGATACGTTGTTAGAAAAACAGTCAATAGAACCCCTTGGCTTCTACTCAGTGATCCTTCTTGTCCCCAACGTTCAGTACCTACAGCCGCTCCTTCACTTCTGAATGGTATCAGTCAACCTTCTGAGAACCATTGTGAAGCCGGGAGACTACATGATCAGCCTCAAACGTCAGGACGCCTACCTACATGTACACGGGGCAATCCCCAGCGTGTACCTACAGCTGCTCCCTCACTTCTGAATGGTATCAGTCAACCTTCTGGTGAAGCCGGAGACTACATGATTAGCCTCAAACTTGAGATAGGATCTGCACCTTAAAATTAGGAGATAAAGTTTAAAAATTTGGAAATTTTAACTATATATTGTATATTTATATACTGTCCCTGTCTCACATGATGGATTTCTGCCCGACCTCCCCATTATGCTGATTACAATCCAAGAAAGGAATGATCATACAGAGGAGTCACGTGATCAATCAGGGGCATGCAGCTTGCCTGCTTTAGGCATGCTGCATGCTCCACAGAGGCTTGGATTGTCCATGAGTGGGAGAATAGGGAGAGTTTTGGGTGAATGGTACAAGAGATGCCAAAAACTTTATTACAGCTCGTTTCCACTCAGCTGTCAAAGCAAGAAAGAGAGAGTACACTATGTGAGATAGGATAAGTATATAAATATACAATTTACAGTTAAAATTTCCAAATTTGCATTAATAAGAAATGTTCACATGTGCATAAGTTCTCATTGATTTAGCAGTTGTCTTACTATGGATGAAGGACTGAGATCAGTTTTTGCACAAGGTCCAGACTGCTAAAACCATAGGTTAGATCTGAGAATCGTCCTCAGGGTTCGAAATACCCCATATATTAGTGTGCCATGGTACGGTAAATATTGAAATGGCACGGATAAAAGATGTTCTCGGTGCCTTTTCGACACGCCTAATTTTTTTTTAGAGACATAACTCACATTTAGTCATTTAATCCCCAAAACAATTATTTTTTTCCAAATTGAATAATACCATACACCACTTGGCTAAACTGTATCACATCTAAATTTCCTTTCATCTAAATGGTTGAATAGCCACTTGATGACCTCACATGAGGTTACTATAACAATCTGCTGACCCCACTTGGCTAAACTGTGTGGTAAGCCCATAACGTAAACTCCTGATCCTGCTAACCGCCTCCGTGGTGTAGTGGTTAGAGCGTCCGCCCGGAGAGCGGAAGGTCGCGGGTTCGATCCCCGACCGCGTCATACCAAAAGACGTTAAAATATGGTACTTGTTGGTCCCTGCCTGGCGTTCGGCATTAATAGGTACAACAAGGACTGGTCGGCTCGGAGTCAGTATAATGTGTCTGAGTGGGGTACTCATGCTTCACTGCGGTATGGTATCTCAGTGGGCTAGCACTATAAAACCAGCTTCAGTCTGGGCTAGTACAAGCAGCCGCACATACACATACACACGCATGCACACATCGTCATATGAGCGAAATATTCTCAAACACGATGTAAAACCCAATTTCACCTCACCTCACCTGATCCTGCTTGTAAATTGCAACTGCACAGGGTGGGCATCAGTTTGTTCCTGTGACGATATTTATTCAGAGTTGCTTCCCTTTCCAAACAATGGCCGGCGAGAAGGTTGATAGGTGCAGATCAAGTCAGATATTAAAATCATGGCCATCTCAGTATTGTATCACATAAAACAACAGTAACTGACTTAAGTTTCGGTTGATATAGTGATTTATTGATATTTTGGTGAATATCACCTGTGCAAGGTCGATAAATCATTGGATCAACCAAAGTCATTAGTTGTAGACTATCACCATCAATCTACTTGACTATTATGTGCTGTCAGAAGTACATCTGGTACATTCTGTAGTTTACAGACTTACATTCCTGTCTTAATACTCAGGACTGCATCTTTCCCAGCTATAACAGTCAATTTAGGATCACATGAGGCAGAAATATACATGGTAGATCTACAGCAAACTGTCGTTCAAGAGTGTCTTTTTTGACTAGATTTAATACTCTTGAGAAAGAGGAATTCTGTGCTAAGTTTGTTGGTTGTTTAAATCCCCGCTCAGTAATATTCAATCTGTGTGACTGTGGTCTGTAAATAAGATCTATCCACTGACATCATGAGCATCAAGCTATGTAATTAGGATACAATGGCATTCATCAGCCACACCAGTGGTTCTCAAACCTAATCCTTATGGTTGCCTTTTACAAACCATTGGGTACTGAAGACCTATTCTTACCCAGACCTCCACATGTTCAAAGCTTGTAATAACGGAGATAGTGATATCTTTTCTGAAACAGTGCTTGTCGCATGAGTTGACTAATGGGATTGCTTGATCAGGCTCGCTTACTTGGTTGACACATATCATCGTATTCCAGCTGTGTAGATTGATGCTCATGTTCTTGATCACTGGATTGTCTGGTCCAGGTTTGATTATTTACAAATTGCCGCCATAAAGCTGGAATATTGCTGAATTGCGTAAAAGTAAACTAACTCACTCACTCACTCTGAAACAGCTTTAGTGATGAAGGGGTCCAGGATGTATCTTTACAGACTGAGATATATTGGATAATGAAGGATGGTTTAATAGACAAGTGGCAGTTTCTCTTGGCTGGTGTCTGTATCCGTTGTTCATGTTTTGAATGCAGGTACAAACAGAAGAACAAAAGGCCAAGAGTGATCGAATACGAAGTTTAAGAAAGAAGCATGCAGATTTGTTAGATGAGGAGAAAGACAAACATCGGAAGCATCGAGAGAAGTACAACACAACTCGGCAACCTCTTCTCAATGGACTGGCTTCAGAGTATGATCTTAAGTTATTCAAAGAGGCACAAGCTAAAGCCTGTGAAAAAATGGTGAGTAGTCACAATGAGAGTGTCAGTAACTGAGATACAACACCCACGGTCTCAACTGAGATCTAATCTAATCTGGGTGCTTTGAAAGATGTTGAGATCTAAGCCATAAATCCGATAGACTAAGCAGCATGGGTTGCAGAGAGTGGGATAATGGATATGTTCTGCAGCACAGATTTTACTTGTGAATTAAACCTCCCCCTACCCCCACCCCCACCCCATCCCAAAACTGGTATTCAGTCCTGCCTCTTATTCCTTGCAGATCGAAAATTGTACATCTTAACGTTTTTTATTGTATGCTGAAAATTTCTAAAGGTCTGTAAAAGTGTCCCATTACTAGTGTTGGGAATTGGTTGAAATCTCACAATTGATGATTGCTTCATTACCAACGAACAATCATCGAAAAAAAATTGGTTAGCGTCATTTTTCAGATTTTCCTATCCAGGTTGTTATTGCAGATATGTATAACATGATGCAACTTGCTACTTTAAAGTGATGACTGATATATCATGAACATAAACTTCCTGGAGTCTTAGAGAAATATTTTCAGATAGTGAAGTGAAATAAACACGTTTTCAGGCCCTGACAACTTCTAGGATACGTTCCATTATCAAGTATTTCAAAGACTAACACAGTAGTTCCAAAATCGTTTATGTTCGATTATGAGAAAATGTGAACGATTGCTTGGTCGTTTGGCCACTGCGACAATCTTCGATTATTTCAATTAATCAGAACACAATTACCATTACATGAGGGCTCCACTGGGTTATCTGGTCTGCACTTCTACATTGTCTGTCCATATAATTTTTAAACTTATCCTATCTCACGGTATGCACTTCTCTCTCTTGATTCGACACTGAGTGGAATGATGTAAACTTTTTCCCAAGGCCTCTCTTGTCCATCCGCCCAAGCACTCCATGCTACCCTCATTATAAGACAGCTTCCTAGCTCTCATGCAAAGTATGCGGCATGCACCACTAGCTGCCCACCGGACTATCGCCGAATCATCATTCTCTTTCTTGTCGCACATGAGTGTGGATGCGTTTGCTTTGCTCAACGTTTTCAACACTTGTCTACAACATGGAAGACAAAAAAGAGGAAGAAATGTTTGCGGTGCAATACAGTGTTTAAGCGTCCTACTTTGTTTGCTCGTCAGTCACATTCCCCTCCCTCGAATGAAGAGGTTTTTCATGAGAGCGTCGTCAGATTCTTACTTATCTATCACCCCACAGGATGTTCCTACACAGCGGGACCTTCGAACTACGCTCTCTGTCTCTCGTTCACCGGACCAATTATCTCGGCAACCTGGCTTATCTGTTTCGGACAAGAATCAGCTGATCTCTACACCGGACTGCGCAGAGCGCAGAAGCTGTTCTAGCTCTCGTCGTTCATCCAGAAGTGAGAGGAACCAGTCTACCTCGCCTCAACGCCTGTCAGTGGTTACTTTGCTGTCTCCTTCCCATTCGGCGAAAAGAAGTGGTTTCTTGTGTCCAGCTACCTTGATCTGCTTCGCCGAAGCCTGCCAGATCGAATCAAAGTTCGACGAAACACGCTTCGCCTGTCCGCTCCCCTCCATCTTGACTTTCGCCGGACTGTCCACCTTCCCCAGAATTAGACCGGCTCTCTACGGAACAGCTTTCGCCGAACTGCTTTGGCATTCTCCGGATCGATCGTCTTCTAAACAGACTTCACCTAATCGAACTTCGTCGGATCAACATTCGCCGAAATGGAAGACTTCACTGAAACGGCATGTGATGAACCGACTTTCGCCCATACAGTTTTCTTCCAAGCGGTATTCAAAGGAACACCCTTCTCCGGATCATCTGTGTACTTCCCGGATTTTTGTCACTGTTGCATTGTGGGTACCATTTGCAAATGGCGGACAACCCTTGTTTACGGGAGAATTATTATATTAAGAGTCACTATGAAGTACACCGACAGATCTGTCTAGCAACTACAAGCGGATAACATTCCCAGCCTTTTATTGCCAGTGACGATGAACAGTGCCATTCCCGGTAAGAGTGATTATGTTGGGATTCGTCAGCCATCCGAGAGAGACAGTTCACTGAGAGTTACTCGGCTTTCAAAGTTAGCCCCAGCCCTCAGTACAGAGGTCACAGCAGTTCTGCTCACATGGTCCCCAGGCACCTATTTACTGCCTTCATCTGGAAACCTTCAGTGGCATCGCCAGGCTTTTTTACCTTAGTCATTACAGCAACTTTACGAATGTTTTGGTAGATCAATGATCTCCATGCGTCAAATCTACTAACTTTATCACTCCATCTGGCGGACCAATACTTCATTTGGCAAACCAACGTTCCTGAGATCACCGATTTTACGACCTTCATCACTCCGTGCACAGTGTGAACGTGTCTGTAGATTGACTGACAATCTCTATACGCCGACTCTACTACATTCAGCACTCGGTCAGTGCTGCCATGGTAGCTTGACTATTTAAACGTTTCTATCTCAGGACAGATATCCCTACAGCAATGACAAGAGTTGCTAGGTCTCCTTACCTCAGCACTAGCCTTCACTTACAGAGGTCAACTTTAGGCGCTACTTCACCTTCGAAGCTACATAGATTGCATCCAGGCACAACAGGATTCATTCGTACTTCTTCGCCAACTGCAGTTCACCACCATCCTGCTCCGGCAGTTAGGGTAACATCAATCCAGGGACCACACTTCATCGATACATTGTTTAACACCAGTCATGGGATGATGTTCGCCCTTCAAGACAGGTGGATGAAGATCTAGCGATGTGTTGCTCCAGTGCTATCTCAGTGGCAGGAGCTACTAGGCTTTCTGACGTCAGATCAAGCCCTAACATACCGAGTTCAGCCTCGGCCGTTACAGCACTTTTTGTGCCTGTACCTTCAGCCCAACAATCCCAAGGAACTGATTCATCTTCCCGAAACTGTCACGCCGAAGACCCGGGTTCGAATCCCCACATGCGTACAATGTGTGAAGCCCATTTCTGGTGTTCATGCGTAATACAGAAGCTGTTGATCCCCAGCAAGATTCTACTGCTTTTGGTCGAGCACTTCCTGACCAGCGAGAAGTTGGTTTGTTGACCTAAGAAGCCTGGCAGAGCCAAACCCAGTACTGCTTCCCAACTGGGGCAACCTGCTGTTTCACCCTCACCCGGAACTACGCCTCTGGACCCCTCAGAACCTTAATCTACACCTTGGCGCATCTCCACCAATTACTCATAGCCAAGGCTACCCTCGTCAAGTAGCCACAGCTATCAATTAAGTTCATCGTAATTCGACCCGTTCTTTCTACAACGATAGTGGAAAAGGTTTGAAGGCTGTTGTAACATTAGGGAAATCTATCTCCCAATCTGCCTCTACTCAGGTCGTTTCTGCGTTCCTGCAACATCTCCGTGCTACTAGGGAACTCTAGGGTACTACGTTAGCTACCTAACTGGCTGCTATCAACTCGGTTTGGCTACTAACACGGGTTTTGTTCACTTCTACAACTGACCGACCAGTCCAGGAAGTTCAGACTTCCGGCCTGGGAATTGTCCGTTGTCCTTCGTCATGTGATTCTACAGACTACAAACCTTTAGAAGACAGGGACTTCGAGTGAAGTGACATTCTTCTTCCTGGTAGCATGGCTACTGCTGCTCGTATATCTGAGGTTCACACGCTTGTTGTTAATCGCGTGCGGTTCGAGCGGAAGAAGCATGGTAAGTTTTTTTCCTGGGTCTCCACTGGGACTTCATCGTGAAAAACCAACTGCCAGGGCAACCGGACTGGATGTTTACCATTCCCCTGTTGTCCATCTTTGGGCCTGATGACACTGAAGATTTGACACTCTGCCCTGTTAGGGCTCTACACCTTTACATTGCTGCCTCCAAGGCTCGTCGATGGCTACGAAAGCGCCTCTTCATACCCTTGTTGTTCGCTTCCAGAGCTGAGGTTTCCTGAGCCACATTGGCTTTCTGAATGCGTGGCACGATCCTGTGAGCCTCCACTTTGCAGGGTTGCTGCCGCCAATCCTCATGAGGGACAGTTCCACTTGCGCGTTACTGCTTCTTTCTACATACGGAACAAAGTTGAACAGGATCTCAATCATTGTTCTCAAGTTATGGGTTTAAGAACTACTTCACTTGGCTTCCATACCAAGGCATCAGAATACGCGATGCAGAGGTTTTCGATGCAAACGAGGTGTTATGACCTTGAAAATCGTGGCGAAGTGACATCCTTTCTCGCTGAGCTGCGTCCTTCTTCAGAGGTTGCGGCCGAACACCACATCGCTACGGGAGCACCCATCTCCCTGGGAGACGTTGTGCTTAGTAAGCCAAGGAGTTCAAGAGAACTCAGCACAAGCATAGGAGTTGCGCTAGTCGTAACAGGCCTCCCTTGTGCATCGCTATCTACGGTTGTCATCAGTCTGCACAGTTCTTGCTGTTTGCACTGTCAAGACACAGGGTATCTGCGTCCCGCCGTCCGACCGTGGGATAAGTGCATACCATGAGATAGGATCAGTTTAAAAATTTGGACTTTTAATATTAATTGTATATTCATATACTTATCCTATCTCACACAACGGATTCCCGCCCATCCTCCCTGCTATGCAGATTCTCCAAGATGGATATTATCCAGTGGCTCCAAGATTGACAATGATGATTCGGAGATAGTCATGTGGTGTATGCCGCATGCTTTGCATGAGAGCTAGGAAGCTGTCTTATAATGAGGGTAGCATGGAGTGCTTGGGCATATGAACAAGAGAGGTCTAGGGAAAAAAGTTTACATCGTTCCACTCAGTGTCGAATCAAGAGAGACAAGTGCATACCGTGAGATAGGATAAGTATATAAATATACAATTTATATTAAAATTTCCAATATCAGTATCAGTATGATGTTTTGTTGTGTTTTGTACATACTGAAAAGTATATATGATTGTATCATGTACCACTGGGTGGTTTTCTGAGACATTAATGAGTTGATACTTGTCAGCTTCTACCACCACAGGCATGTTTTCTGATTTCATGAGTTTTAGAAGAAAAATGTAACTGATTTTCTTTCTGACATTTTTATGCTCAAAATTGTATAATCTGCTGTCTAATGTCTGTGTTAGTGATCAAAACTACTGTAAACGTACTTATTTTCGCGTGGTGCAATTTTCGCGGAATTGACAGTTTAGACTACATCGATTTCAATTATTCGCGCAATCAGTAATTGCCGGACTGCCAGCTGACAATAGCAGTGAACTTAACCTGTCATTTGTCCCCTATCTGTGCGATATACTAACCCGTTTACTCCCGGAAGAGATGAAAAACACATCAGTCTTATGTTCATTCTGACGATCTGGATTAATTAACTTATACTGTATATGAAGCTTTTGTGATTTCAAACAAGCCGGGTTGTTGTGAATGAGATGATTGAGTGTTAAGTGACTATTCGCTTCATGATGATATAACGTTTGTATCTAAATGAATAAATAAAATACTGCTGTATTATTTCTTTCCGAAGTCGCTTTCATGGTAATCTGTTTTGTATCAAACCATCTGTCATGTGACCAATTTCCATGGCGGCCACAACACACATTGCTGTTTTCCCTAATTGTGATGGGATTTGGCTCATTATTTAATTATGTTTTGGGAAATCCATTACAGCGACAGTTAAGTATGATTGTTTATGCTACTATCAGTCATCATTTTAAGATTCCCAGGATTTCTATCTTCAAACTTGATGTGTTATGGTTTATTCAAGGTGTATAAATTTTTCTTTCTAAAATGTTTTGCTCAAAATGGTAATAATCCTGCTGTCTGATATACTACGTTTACAGTATCAAGAAAAAAGCCCCAAGAAGATGAAGTGTCATCACATGCTGAGCTCCCATTTTGTTCTGTAGCCCTGATTTTATATGCAATTCTGTATTTAGCCAAGAGTAAACTGAATGATTTGTCGTTTCTTCCAGGAGCATGAATTAACGCAGCACTATCAGAGGAGCGAGCAGCAAGAGTACAGAATAAAAAAGTTAGAGATTGGACGGTGGGAACTGACCACGTGGTATTCGTCACCGTATCCAGATGAATATGCCCGCTTACCGAAAATCTACCTTTGTGAATTCTGTCTGAAATATATGAGAACAGCCACCATTCTACGAAGGCATCTGGTAGGTTGTTCTGTATTATTGTATCACTTGTTCAGTCTCTTGTAGAACTGTGATAATCACGATGTGAGCTGTCAGTGTTAGAATGTTTTCGAAAACTGTGCTTGCTGTTAGAGTAATATTTGGATTTGATCTTTTGTCGGTCAATATCATATCGTCGCTGGTGAAGAGAACACACATGCTCGTGTAAGGTTACAAAATTTTATGTAAACTTTAGATGAGAACTGAAAATAATTATTGAAAATTATGGATCTCTGCTTCTTCATTATGAGGAACACAATGTTTTGGAGAATATTCTTACTCCTTCATCCCCACAATTTTTTAAACCAGAATAACCTGATGATTTATTTGTAGTGACCATGAGTTTATTTCTATGTATGTTTCTCTTCAGGCCAAATGTGTCTGGCGTCATCCGCCTGGAGATGAGATCTACAGAAAGGGTTCTATATCAGTGTTTGAAGTAGACGGCAAGAAGAACAAGGTGAGAAACAATCTTAACTGATTCTTATTTACCTCATACTGCTTCTTTAACTGTTTCATCTTTTGTTTTTGCCAAGGATCCCAGTATTTCTCTGTGTGGCGACCTGGAGTTAATCTGCACTACAACATATTTGTTTTAAGAGCTGCCTAGGTCCCCAGTACCCCATATTTGTTGTGATAGCTGACTTAACTTATGTTCAGGTTCACCTGAAATGTAAGGTACAAGTGTCTGCAGGGCCACAGTTGTAGTAAATACTACAATAACACTCCATGGCAATTCTTTTATTTTCATTCCAATTTAGAAATTGTTACCGATATCGGCGTCACGTTTGTGTTGGGAAGACTACATACAATCACATCCCTGTTTGCAGGTGTACTGCCAGAATCTGTGCTTGCTGGCCAAGTTGTTTCTAGATCACAAGACACTCTACTTCGATGTCGAGCCCTTCCTCTTCTATGTGATGACCGAAAATGACCAGGGAGGCTGTCACATAGTCGGCTACTTCTCGAAGGTTGGTACCTCTACGTACAGCCCTAGACGAGCTGCACATTTATGTAAAAGTGCAAAATAAACACTATTACTCAAATAATTTTAAGTTGCTTGCATACAAATAAACATCACAAAATTCCATCATGATATCGACACCCAGTGTATCATTTTCAACTTCAGTACCTTATTGCTTTACAGAATTTTCTAACAATCATCTTGCATCACACACATTCTTTAATCAGTGGACAACAACTCTAGAATCTACTGTTAATTAATTTAGTTAAGTTCCCTAATTGGCCATCTTGTGGTAGAGCTGAAGGTCTTGTATAACAGCACTCATTTTCCACATCAATTACGTACGTCAAATTGTCTGTATTCATAACTTTTTTGTTTTGTTTTGCAGGAGAAGAACTCATTCTTGAATTACAATGTGTCCTGCATTTTGACATTACCTCAGTACATGCGCCAGGGTTACGGCAAGATGTTGATAGACTTCAGTGAGTACCTCCCAGAATCACTTCCATCAGAACCTCTGTCTGTTGGTGTGTAGGTGCAGTGTAGGCTCAGGATATCTAGGGCATCTGCTGAGTTACTTCCCCTAGTTGTGCCAGAATCTGGCTATCATGAATTCGACCCGTGAAGATCCGGGGTAGAATAGGTCTTCAGCAACCCATGCTTGCCATAAAAGGTGACTATGCTTGTCGTAAGAGGCGACTAACGGGATCGGGTGGTCAGTTTCGCTGACTTGGTTGACACATGTCATCGGTTCCCAATTACGCAGATCGATGCTCATGCTGTTGATCACTGGATTGTCTGTTCCAGACTCGATTATTTACAGACCGCCGCCATATAGCTGGGATATTGCTGAGTGCGGCGTAAAACTAAACTCACTCACTCACTCACTATCATGAATTCATCCTGAGGCTCTTTGTTTGTCAGCACAATACCTATGTTTGTGTTAAATGTAGAAATATTTCTCATTAAGTGGCATCAATGATGAACAGGAACTAAAATATCAGTTAGATTCGTTTGGGCAAGATGTTTTGTGACATTTCATTGCAAGTTGTGTATATATATAGCAGAAAAAGAGGGAGAATCGGTGCCTATGGAGCCTGACTTGTATCTTTGCATGGGGTTAACAAAATGTGATCCCTGGAGATGTGACAATCATTGCAGATTAACGTTCAACAATCTCTACTGCCACAATTTCCACATTTTAAGTAGTCCTCGTCCAATCTGTATTTCTCTGCCCCCATTAGGCTACCTACTCAGCAAGGTGGAACAGAAGATCGGGTCACCGGGGCGCCCCCTGTCGGACCTGGGTCTCATCACGTACCGCAGCTACTGGAAGGAGGTCCTCCTGGGTTACCTGCACAAATACAGTGGGAGCGAGATCTGCATTAAAGGTAACACACCTTCTTAAATGCTATCTCAGACACAGATAGTATGATTATATTTATTTGAAGCCATTTTGTGAGACATTCTGACCTATATAGTTGTTGGACCATTTTTGGGAAGTAGTGTTGAAATTACAATAGCTTTATAATCAGTACCATTATCAAGCGGTTACGCTGATCATATGAGTGGTCAGAAACCATCCCATTTTCAACTTTCAGCTTGGAGTTCAGTTCAGTTGCATCTGGAACGAAGTATTTAATGCCCATGTTGACTAATGATTATTTTTTATTACGCAAGCTTAGGATAAACCACTGGCTGACTTCAGGCATATGTGGGTGTGGGTAAAAGCTACCCAAAAACAATCTTGCACTTTTTATTTGTCTTAATAGTCAAGTATCATAAAAACATTCAATTTGTGTTACATATGCATAGGCTACATGTTCTTTAACTGTTAATCACATTCTCACCTCTACTGCCACCTGTGACTTGATAAGTATGTAGGTTGGCATTGTGCTTTGGTATATATTGGTGATATGTCAATGAATCATGATTCTCCTAATTTCTGATGCTGCACCATGTGGCATATTTATAAGAAATCTGTGACACATATGTGACTTGTTATTTTTCCAGATGTGAGCCAGGAAACAGCAATCAATGCTAATGACATTGTCAGCACGTTACAAGCATTGGGAATGCTCAAATACTGGAAGGGAAAACACTTGGTACTCAAACGTCAGGTGAGTCAGATCTTCATCACATCTTCACACCATCTGTAACAGATTTTCAATGACCCATTAAGCATACTGGACAATATTTCCATTGTAATGCGGATATTGGTCTTCAGTAACCCATGCTTGCCAAAAGAGGCGACTACAGGGATTGGGTGGTCAGACTTGTTGACTTGGTTGCACATGTCATTGTATCCCAATTGCGTAGATCGATGCTGATGCTGTTGATCACTAGATTGTGAAACAAACAAATCAAACTGAGATTCAATCCACTCGTATTTTTGTATTTCATTTTGCTTGTCATATTACTGACAGTTGTAAATCGTTTCTTTTCCCAGGATCTGATTGATGATTATTTGGAAAAGAAAGCGAAACGTCCACCTGACCACAAGGCCATTGATTCAGGATGTCTTAAATGGACACCCCCATCAAAACGCACAAATACAGCTTTATGATCATCCCCCATGTCGAGTTTCATGGATACCTCCGGTTCTAGTGGGCACCAGGAGTGTAAGGGTCCACATGTACCATCAACTCTCTGTGTCCTCAAAACTTGGTGTGAAGTAGAGATTTTTGAGTCTGTAACATTTGGAGGGAGGGATGGAAATAAATGTGAACACTCCGTGTCATGTTAGAAACTCAAGGGATCAGACCCAAATGTGTGGAAAACCGGCATCTGTAGAGGCTGACTGTACACTGTCCAGGGCAAGTGTTCTGGTGTCAGAATGGTGAACAAAACATTGAGGAAGTACTTGCCTGATATTCATCTCCCAGGAACATGTCGTGGATCTTGAAACTGTTATGTATTGATGTCACTGAGGACTACCTTCTACCCCTTCACTGTGTGAGAGATACTAGTTAAACAGCAGAATCCTGTACCCCTGGTGTCATGTGATGTTCGCAAGAACTTACCTTTCATACTATGAATAGAAGGTATTTGTATCTTGCATAAGAAACCATGATGATTGTGAGGTATTTCTGGTTTGTAAGAGCAATCTCATGCCACTTTGGTATACAAGGCAGATCAGTCTTGCAAGAACCAACCTAGAACTGAGGTATGAGGTGTGTCCTGTTGTGAGAGCAAGCCCATACCACAAGGTTTGGTATCCTGGGAATGCAAGCACCAGCCTGGAATGCAATAAGTAATGTAAGGTATTGGTGGTTGCCCAGAACACTTCACAGACTTATGCGAAAAATCCTGGAACTCAGTAAGTGGTATGAAGTATTTCAGCTTATGAAGACCAATCAAAAACTCGTTTGAGGAACTAGGAAGGCAGGAATGGTAAGACTCGCCTGTTACGCTCTTATAAGATACGTCTAGCTTTCAAAGACAAAGCTTTGTCCATTGTGTGGTAGGAGTTGTGCTTGTCATGTGAGGCACTCCCCTGTGTGGTGCAGGAGATGGTTAGTGAGAATGATTCTGTAACCCTGGAAGAGAGAACTGTTTCTGTGATTCTGTTTTCACAAAGTAACCTACATGGGACCAGACAGTTGTGTTGAAGGTACAGAAGATTGTCAGGTTGGACAGGGAGTGATCTACCCACAAGGAACAAGACAAGTAAAGATGGTTACGTACTGTTGTCAAGGTGTTCTGAAGGAAAATTTGACCATAAAAGGCAAGCAGAACATTAGCTGGTTGATGAACGTTTGACCTGCTCAGTTGGAACTAGACTACAATGGAGTGTAGCTGGCTGTAACATTGGGATCAAAGCATTCTGTAGGTTGTTGGTTGGTAACCCACAGACACATGGTACACAGTGTAATTTAAAAAAGAAAATTCAAACTATTGAATGAAATTTAGAGATCTGAAAAACATGTCCAACAGAAGGAAATGGTATCTGAATCTGATGTAATCAAATATTTGTGTCACAGCTGTGCAGACTCCAAACTCATATGGTTTGCAATACTTTTTTATTAAAGGTGTACAGAAATGTTTCCTCACAATCTGCACATTACAATGGAATTGATTTTCATATACATGTACCTTCTTCAGGCAGTTATGAAACTAAGGGGGTAAACAGGTCACGATGTTAATAAGTTACCAAGCTGCCCATCAGAATTATCATTCCTGTTGGAATTAAGAATTATGACAGCTTTTCTTTTTAAAGTTAACAGGCCTTCCAAAGACATTAATGTATTTCTCACCTGCATGCACTTCACAGTGAGCTGAAGAGAAGAGAAATTTCAATTAAAGTTAGAAGAAACTACTTTTGGTACAATCTTAACTTGATCAAGAATAATGATCCTTTCCTAAAGTGTGCATTCCTTTTAGATAGTTTCTTTGCTGAATAAGAAAATATTTTGTCATGAGGTCCTAAACTTTGAAGGTGAGACCTTCATCCTTTAAAGTGAGATATTTGTCCTTGAAAGCGAGATCTTCATTGGATCGTGAGTTCAGCTTTAAGGTGAGGTCTACATCTTTGAAGCTTTTATCTGAGCTTTAAGGTGAGATGTATATCTTTGAAGCTTTTATCTTTGAACATAGGATCTTCACGTTTGGAATATTAAAAGAGGCATGTGTTTGAAACCTTAATGACCACCGCTTTAACCTCCTTCCAACAACCATGAACAGGACACAGCTCGACCTGTCACAGGGGCATTACTAACGTTCAGCTTCATCAGGAAAATGGGGTGGGCCTGGGCCTAACGGTAATGCCATCTTAGCATGTTCAACAGCCGCTGATGGGGCCAGCAAGTCTATGGGTAAAGATGGAGACTGAAGAGATGCTACAGATTGCCAGTATTACGGGTGACATATATTCCACTACAGCAGTTACCATGGTTACCAGAAAGAAGGGACAAGAGTACAGTAAAACTGATTACAACGTCCGCGGTGCTCTGTGTATATCTTTAAAAGTTTGTTCTCAGACTGTCCCGTTATTTTATTGGTTTTACCATTTATATTGTTGATGTTAAGTTATATGTGAGTAACTTTTGAGAATGAATTTTATGATAAATTATGTATATTTGTACAGATTTTTAAAAAGGGTTCTATACTGCGTGTGTGAACTGCATCCACTGATAGACGTAGGGGTAGGTCTTGCTATAGCTCTCTTGTAGGTCTCTACAACAAACGGTGGATCAAACAATCAAATATATCTGGCAGTCTGTACATACTTACACGTGGGTGTATACAGTAACAGGTATCTGTTACATTTGAACTGAACAAGTAATTAAACACCTAAATAAAATACCCGTCTTTTGTTGTATTTATTGTGGTAGTGAGGTGAAATACGTTTGCATTCTGTTAAAGATTCTTGGAATTGTACAGCGTGTGAGTGTGCATGTGCGTGTGCGTGTGCGTGCTGGTACCGATTAATGCCGGTTGAATACTGCCAGACCAATGGGATACCATGTGGGTTCTTAACATACCTACCTACCACTCCATGTTGTATTCCTATGCCGAACACCAGCCAGGGTACCAACAAGTACAACAGTATAACGTCTTTCATATGACGCGACAGGGGGATCGAACCAACGACCTTCCGCTCTCCTTCTCTGCTACTTCACGGAGGCGGTCTTGTGATCTTGTCAGCACCGACAACACCGCATTCCACAGTATCCCTGCTGTATGACAGCGACTTGAAAACAGTCTGTAAGCTAGGCACTGGCATCCAGGTATACTGACTCACAATCAATAGCGTCTCTGATCTGATCACCCAATCCATTCCCGTATTGACTTCGCCCTGGTTGTGTTTCTGGGTTTGAAGGTTTAAAGATTGAGTGCTCCATCGCTTTGGGACTTTCACCATAACCAGGCTGACTGGAATGACAAGAATATAGTTCAAAGCGTTAGTTATACCAAATACGTTTGGGGGTGCTTTTCCAGGAATCCATAATGATGCAGTAATATTTTGTATTTTATAATTTTAGAAGATTCACTTAGCCACTCATTCTCTTCCCACAGAGGTTACTCAAGTCATATGTTCCCACGTAGGAAGATATGAATTAAGTAACCTCTGTGGGAAGAGAATGTTAGCCACTGTTCACCCGTTTCTGCGAGCACGACATGGGATTTAGTAAGTTATCATGGCGCCATCATACATATTGCTAAAATACCATGTTGCCTGAATATGTCGTCGGCTGCCGAGGCGGCAGAGAAGAGCTGGTTGTTCATTCTGTCCGTGGTGTGAATGTATGGGGCATACTGGTGGCACCGTTTGAGCCACCGCACTTTTCAATGTCCCTTAGATGAGCCAGGAGCCCGTGTTGACCAGCACCATACCTGTACTCGCTGGTTCAATCAAGTTGAAAACGTCTCATCACTTCGGGCTTTTCTGTGACGTTATATAGCCTGCCACGCCGTGATATAACTGGGATACTGTATAAAACAGCGTTAAACTAAACTCACCGTGTTAAACATTGTTTCACTGTAACGATACCTGGATACACGTTGGGACGATATGGATATTCGGTTTTAGTATGAACCAATGACGGACAGAGGGCCAGACTAGTCCCCAAAAGGAACATATTAACTAACTAGCATAATGATCTAAGTCGTGTTCCATAAGAGACAAAATTATTTCATGAAATCTCTGTAGGTTTTCGACATAACTGTTGCTCATGCTGTCAGCCTCGGGTTGGAATCCAGGCTCGTGGTACAGCTGCAATATTGCTGACATGGAGCAAAACATTTACTCTTCATTTGTAACAAGTACATCAAGCCAGGTATTATTCAAGCAACATCTCAGTTTGAGACACAGGTGGGTTTACATTAGGAGAACGAAACCAGGTCTTGGGCGTGGCTAGTGACCGCTTGGCTATTCTTAGCCCACTTTATTACGAACTATTATTACTAATTTGTATACCTGTTATTTGGGCGGGGTTTCCGATTTTTCGGATGCATTATATAATTCATCTTCGATTACCAAACAAATATCATATCATGTTATATACTCAGCAGCAAAATAAAACCCCCACAAGTACGAATTCAAAATTAGATAGGCACTGTAATCAAATCAAAACGGAAATGGACATAATAAGCGGATCAAAAACATTTTTTGTGTACAATATCTTGACACATCAATGAATAACTCAGCACAATTTCAAGACATTACGTGAACGTTTGCAGTCCATTCAGTCTCTTGACTTCAGTATCTAGTGTGACCACCACGAGCGGCAATAACTGCAGTACAGCTTCTATACATGGAGTGCACCAATCTATTGATGAAGGCCATTGGCACCTTGAACCACACTCTGAGAAAGGCCTGGCGCAATAAATCGGCTGTGTTCGGCCTTGGTATGACATTATTCAGTCTCCTCTGAATTTCATCCCAAAGATGTTCAATTGGGTTTAAATCAGGACTAAGGGCTGGCCACTGCATAATGTTGACACCGTTCTGCTGTAGGAAGTCCCGTGTAGCTCTGGCAGTATGGGCCCGGGCGTTTTCATGCTGGAAAATGTTGTTCCGGTGACGTGCGAAATGTGGTATGACGTGGGGTCTGAGAGCTTGGTCGATGTAGCGCATCGCTGTGATGCCGCCTCCTCTTCCTGGACCAAGGTTCTGGAACACCACAGGACCCACTCTCTGGTTCAGGCCTATTCCACCCCATACCATGATGCTTGCACCTCCCCATGAGTCTCTTTCCATAACACATTGGTCTGAGTAACGCTGGCCACGTCGTCGCCATATTCTTGTTCTGCCATCTGCAGTGATACGCAGTACCGACTCGCATCTGTGAAGACAACAGTTCTCCATTGCCTGTATCGCCAGTTTTGGTGTTGTAGGCAAACTGTAGACGTTCACGCCGATGACGAGGGGTGAGGATAGGTCCACGTTAAGGTGTACGGCAATGGAGGTTCCCGCTGTTAAGACGTCGGCGTACTGTATCAGTACTGATTGGTCTTCCGTGTGTTCCCACTGTCTGGCGTGCTGTTTCGGATGCCTGCATGAAGGGATTCTGTACATGCTGTCGCACAACATGGCGGTCTTGTCGCCTTGTGGTCACCCTTGGTCTGCCAGTACGGGGGCGATCATTTGTGGTGTTGGTGGCCCGGAAACGTTG